CTCTTTGCTCAGAGCACCAGGCAGCTCTGCTTTATACGCTCATCCCAGAGCCCGGCTTGGAACTCAGGGTTATTCTTGTCCAAGAAGTGGCCGGTGCCTGCAGCTGGCCATCTGCCTTCGACTGGACGCAGCTCTGGGGCCATGGAACCTATCCCAGGACGGGCATGTGAGGGGGCTGCTCGTTTTGACCTTGGTCAGAGGTTGTAACAGGGATGGGATGCAGATGAGAATGGAGATGGGGTTGGGGTTGGGTTTGGGGAAGGGATGGAGACAGAAATAAGGATTGAGTTGGGGGTGAGGATAGAGCTGGAGGTAGAGATAGGGATGGGGAAGGGAATGGCAGTGGAGATAGGCCTGGAAAGGGGGAGGGGATGGAGGTGAGGATGGAGGTGGAGCAGGAAATAGAAATGAGATGGGATGGAGGTGAGGATGGAGATGAGGATGAAGGTGGAGAAGGAAATAGAGAGGAGATGGGATGGAGGTAAGGATGGAGGTGGAGAAGGAAATAGAAGATGAGATGGAGGTGAGGATAGAGGTGAGGATGTCAGTGAGGATGGAGGTGGAGAAGGAAATAGAGGAGATGGGATGGAGGTGAGGATGAAGGTGAGGATGAAGGTGGGGATGGGATATAATTGGGAAGACTAAGAGTGAAGGAAGGCTGCAGGCGACAGTCCTACAAAGCAGTGGGTTGTGGGGGAAAGAGTGCTGTTCGTAATCAAAGGAAGGGGAAGAAAGGAGGGAGGGGAGAGGCTGATAGTGACATGGGGGAGCATCCATAAGCAGTCGGGGGCCCAGGTGTCAGCAGCCCCCTGACTGCCGGCCCTCAGAGCCCTGCCAGGCGAGATGCAGAGCGACATGTTTCTAGGACACAGTGCCTGAGGACTACATTGACGGGCAGAGTGTGGGGAGCCCGGGCTGTCCATGCTGATATTAGCAGCCCTGCTGTGTCATCGTCCATACAACAGAAATCTGTTATTGTCTTATGAGCTTGATTAACTGTACATATTGCTAACACCTGCTCAGAAATATAACGAGGGACGGGAACACGGCTCCCAATCAGGGTCTGTGTGGGTGGCGTGCGTGACTTGGGTGCAGATCTCCAGAATGGGGATGTGTGTGCACGCAGATGTGTGTGTGTGTGTGTGTGTGTGTGTGTGCGTGTGTGTCTTGGGGGAGGGGGGCGCACCAGTGCTGCGCAAAGAACCCTGGCCTGCATTGGTAACACCAGGGGGCCAGTCCAGGCTTTGCCATCGACTTACAGTGTGACCACAGGCGGATCTCTCCCTCTCTCTGACCTCAGTTTGCTGACCTGTAAATGGAAGGTCTGACCCAGTGCTGTGCACTAGAAATACAGTGCCAGCCACATCTGTGATTGTAAGCTTTCCAATAACTGCACTGAGAAAAGCTGTAAAGGTGAAATTATTTTTAGTAATCTGTTTACTAAGTTCAACATAGCCCAGATGTTATTTCAACAGGTACCCAATATAAAATATTCATAACGTATTTAACATTCTTTTTAAAACTGTCTTCAAAATTCCGTGCGTGTTTTGCCCTTACAGCCCATATGAACTTGAAAAAGCCACACCTCAGTGCTCAGGAGCCACACGGGGTGGGTGATGACTGTATTGAACAGGGCCAGGCCGGGGCATTCTCCGGTCTCCTCATTGAACTGTGGGTGCCCCAAAGTGGGAGACCAGGTTTGTTCTCCCAGCCGGTAGCAAGGAGACCCCAAGAAAGCATGTTCATAAATAATATTGCGAATAAACGTAGCTGCCATGGGTTGAGTGCACTGTGAAAACGCTTTCAGGCACTGCTTCATTGAATCCTCGCAGGTGCCCTATAATTTCATTCTGCGGGTAAGGAAGTCGAGGTTCAGAGAGGTTAGGTAACATGCCCAGGGTCACGCAGCTGGGGAGTGGTACCCTGGTCTTTGAACCCTGGGTAGTGAGTTTAGAGCTCACACTGTTAACCGTTGCCCCAGACGACCTCCCTGTATTACAAATAATATGAGTTAACATTGCTGACCTGCCTGGCGGGCTTCCTGTGTGCCAGGCATCTTGTCGGCATCATCTCAGGTACTCCTCAAAGCCATCCTACAAGGAAGGTTCTAGGCACCTGCTTCCTGTTTGCTCCATGAAAGCGAGGAAGAACGAATGAGTGATTTTGAAGGTACCCGCTGCCTAGCTCTGGGCCTCTGGGAATCGTGGGGGGTGTACTTACACCTCACATATGCCATCAGGAGCGGTGCCAGAGCTCTATGCCAGACTACTTGGCATGGTCCCTTCATCTCTGGGGCAAACGAGTTAAGCAGAGCCACCCTCAGGAGCAGTTCTCAAGGGAGCCGGCTTTAAGGCGTCCACGGAGCGGAGATGTGCCCGGTGAATGCATGTTCCCGGCGGCGAACAGGCATACTTGGGGCTCGGGTGCCAGTGGGTCTGAGCTCTATCCTTCTTCCCGAAGGTCTGGTAGCACAGCTTCGTGTCCGAGTTTAGGCTCTGGAGCTGGGGCCCTCGGGTTCAAATCCTGACTCCCTGAACCCAGGCAGGTTGCTTCAGCTCTTTTGTTTTCTCATCTGTAAATGGGAATACATAACCTCACCTCCTAGACCAGTGGTTCTCAACCTTCTGGCCCTTTAAATACCGTTCCTCATGTTGTGGTGACCCCCAACCATAAAATTATTTTCGTTGCTACTTCATAACTGTAATGTTGCTACTGTTATGAATCGTAATGTAAATATCTGATATGCAGGATGGTCTTAGGCAACCCCTGTGAAAGGGTCGTTCGACCGCCAAAGGGGTCGCGACCCACAGGTTGAGAACCGCTGTGACCTAGACTTAATGGTGAGGATTAAATGAATGAACACAGGCAAGGGCTCGGAAGGGCTTCCTGGCTCATAAGCCTGAGTCGCTCGCTGCCGGCGCTCGCTGTCGGATCCAGGTTTTCAGGGTAGTTCTAGAAACATTAGATTGTGGAATCTGCGACTCCTGGGTAATTGGAGTGTTCGGATGCGTTCTTCCCCCTCGGAGTTCCTACCCCACTTACCATCTGTTTCATCCCATCTTACACTTAATTACAATTCTCCGCCTATTGTTCTCCCATTGTCTCCCGTTTCTCTGCTTCCCCCGCTGACAGCACGCGGTGGCTGCCCGAATGAATGAATGGCTCCTACCTGGCTCCCTTTCCCTAGACCTTAAAATAGAGTTGCCAGGCGGCTGTCGCCCCCGCCTGCCGGCGAGCTCCTCCTCGCGGTGTCTGCTTCATCGCTGGGCGCCTACCGCGAGCACCTGGCACCACGCCCCGCACCTAGTAGGTGTCGGGAAATGTTTGTCGAATTTAATTAAACTTCACTGGGGTGGAAACCCCCAGCCGGAAGGAAAGGCCTCTTCATTTCCTCGGCTCCCCCCGCAGCTCAGGACCGAGGCCAGATAAGCCGGAACCGACAGGCTTTCCCAAGCGAAGTTCTCAGAGGATGGCCTTGGGGCTGATTACAAGGGGTTGGGGAGGTAATAGGAGGAATCCCAGGATAGGGGATTCCTGCCAGGTGCTACGTAAGCCCTAGTTTATCGATTAGCTGGTTCTTCAGATATGGCTGCCAAGGGTGAGTCCCATTTCATTAACTGGGGAACTGAGGCACACAGTTGTTTTTTGTCTTGTTTTTAATACATTTTTTATTGATTTCAGAGAGGAAGGGAGAGGGAGAGGGAGATAGAAACATCAATGATGAGAGAGAATCATTGATCGGCTGCCTCCTGCATGCCCCACACTGGGGACCGAGCCCACAATGAGGGCATATGCCCTGCCCAGGAATTGAACTGTAACCTCCAGGTTCATAGGTCCAAGCTCAACCATTGAGCCACGCCGGGAGGGCCTGAGCTCACTTGCCCTAGGACATGCAGGCGATGCTGACTTGGCTGGGACTTGGGCCCAGGTGTACCTCATGGCTCCATAAGCCCTCGTCCCCATCCCCACGGGGCCTGGTGCCCTGGCTTTGGCAAAGCAGCCAGTGGCAGCTGGTGAGGAGAGCTGGTGGCAGGCAGGACGAAGCACAACCAGCCAGCGCGCCCAGAACAAAGCCTCCTGGCGCCCAGGGCCTGTCAGTGTCGGCCACTTCTTCCTACTGCCCGCCATGGGCGAAGCTATCTCTCTGGCCTAAGTTCTGCTTCCAGTCTCTTCACAATGCAGCTCAGACCATGTCACTGCTCTTGTTGAAAACCTTCAGTGGCTCCCCACTGCTCTCAGAACCAAGAAGAACAGCTCAGCCCAGGGGTGCACTCATAAACCCACTCTCCGGCGGCTGGGGCAGGGGGAGGAACACACCAGCAAAGAAGCCCTGATCTGTAGCTGTGGCTGATCTGCATGGTGTAGAGACGCCCTCTATGGCCTGTTTCGAGCCGCCGTGTAACAACCGGCTCACAAAATCCCTGAAAATGCCACAGCGGGCTCTCCTGCGGCTGTGGGAACCTGAGCCAAGGAGCGTGACCCACCATCAGCCGCCCCGGTCAGTGCCCAGCACATGCCCCCAGTTCCGGCACATTCCCCTGGTTCCTTGACCTGCCATCACCACGGCCTGCCTCCCATCCCTCCTGCTGCCCCCCTCCCCCACCAACCGGCCACAGGCTTTTGCACACGCTGTTCCCACCACCTGTCATGCTTGTCCCGCACACGTTGCTTCCTCAGGTCACAGCGCAGCGTCACTTCCCCGGGCTTGGGCAGTGCCCCTTTGCTCTGTTCGCCTCCCGGCACCTGGTGCACTTACATGAACGATGTGACCCCTTGGCTCAGGCTCTTATCCACCAGGCTGTGAGCGTTGTGGGGTGGGGCCTCTCTGGACCCCAGCAGGGACAACATTCTCACTGTGGTTGATGACAGTGGCAGCCTCTGGTGGGGCAACATGTGCCCCCAGCACGCAGCATGGGGCCTGGCCCCTCTTAGGTAGGCGATGGATTCTTCCCGGAACCTTCCAGCTAAGCCTTTTTCCTTTTGTGCTTCCCTTCTGGTAGCTCCTCCTACCTCCATCGAAGTGGTGGCTGCGGACGCGCCAGCCCCCTTCAACCGCTACCAGGCCCAGAACTTCACGCTGGTCTGCATCGTGTCCGGAGGGAAACCAGCGCCCATGGTGAGTGCCCCTGGGACCACCCTCCCCTGGCTTGGTCAGCTGCATAGTGACGGGGAGAGGGCGAGGCCTGCAAAGTTAACTCTGCCGCATCTGCCTTGGTCTGACCCTGTCCACTCCGCCGACCGCCTCTCCTGCTTCCGGTCTCTCAGCACTGGGAACCCCACTTCTGCTGGACCCTGGGATCCTCGAACTACACAGTGGGAGCAGTTTTTAGGGGACCCCAGCATCGTGCTCAAACCGGCTTTTGGGCAGGATGCAGGCACATGAGGCCCAGAAAGGGGAAGGGACATCTCAGAGTCACCCCTCAGAGTGGGGCAGTAGGCAGGTGGTCATGTCAGAGCTGGGGTTCCAGCTCATGTCCTCCAGCTGCAGGTCCAGTGTGGAGGGAGGAAGGAGGAGAACGGAGGGAGGGAGGAGGGAGGAAGGACAGAAGCGGGAGGAAAGACAAAGGAGGGAGGGAGGAAGGAGGGAAGGTAAGAGAGGGAGTCCCTGTGTAGGCCAGCTTCCTCCTGCAGCCACTCTAACTGCGCTGAGGGCTCGGTCCAGCACCTGAGCTGTTGCCACGCCGATGCAGGGGCAGGGATGGAGGGGAGCCACCGCTGAGAGCTGGCTCGAGCCCAGCCTGGCACATGCGCTGAATGACCCTGAGCAAGAGGATCTCCCCTCCGCTGCTCATTTCTGCCAGGAGGTTTAGAGGCTGGACCATGTGCACAGTTTTCAGCTTTTTAAGTAGCAGTAGGACCGTTTGGTCTGAATGAAATGCACAGAAGCTCCGTGTATAAGACATTTAACAGTGAAGGGGGCCACGCGCCTGGACCGCTCCCTGAAGCGCCCTGGCCCTTAGGGTTCCACGCAGCCACACTGAGAACCTGCGGGCTGCGCAGCCCCAAGGCCCCTCCAGTGCGCACGTGGCCGAGGACTTTAGGGCTCAACCCTGAGAGTTTCTTGCGTCACTAGAATCAGTGAGGGGTGGTTAGGAAGGGTTAGAGTTCAAGGTGGAGGCTAGGCATTCCAGACCCTGCCTGTCTCACAGGCATCGTCCAGTGGGGTGACCGGGGGGCTCAGGCCAGCCTCACCCAGTTGCCCAGGACAGGGCAGTAAACAGGTGCAGAAAGATCCAAGACAGTGGGCAGGTACATGCAGGCCCGGGCGGGCAGTGGGCAGGTGCACACAGGCCCGGGTGGGGCAGTGGGCAGGTGCACGCAGGCACAGGTGGGGCAGTAAATCGGTGGGCAGAGATGAGCCTTTGGTGAGGCCCATTGCTCTCCACTCACACCTGTATCCCGAGGGGACAGCTAAATAGGCACCTTCAAAGCCAGCACTGGTGGGAGCAGGACATGGCCCCGTGTGTCCCCTGTGGAGCCCATAAAGAGGTCTGGCCTCCCTGAAATCAAGCAAGTTGGTCTTTTTCTCCAAAGGAAAACTCATTTTTCCAAAGAGCCAAAAGGAAGTTTCCTCCCGGCACTATGGCTGTGGGAACACCCCTCCCCCAGCCTGCCTGCTCCTGCCATTTAAGACACAGCACTAAAACATTCCAATATATATAGTAAAAAGCATATATATACATATTCCTCATCTTACGTTTGCCTGGAAGGTCAGAATTTGAAAGAATTCTTTGATATAAATAACAAATGTGCTTCTGAATGACTTTTCAAAAAAAAGAAAGAAAGAAAGAAAGAAAAAACCCAAATCAGCCTATTATGTGCATAGGAGATTCTTCGCTGGAGCTATAAACTCTGACAGATTCTCTGCGCTGCACATTCCACTTCCTCCCCCTCCTCCCCCTCCCCCTGCCTCTCCTCAGGCATCCTCCTCCTCCCCTCCCCTCCTCCCTCCCTCCCCCCTCCTCCTCTTCCCCCCCACCTGCACCAGCATCCTGAAAGCTGCTTCCGTCCCTCCGCACTCCCTGTCTCCCTCTATTTATTTATCTGATTTATTAAAAATACACCCAATCCCGCAGGCCCCTGGGCACCTGTACCGAAATAAAAAGACAGCAAATTAAATTAAATGCCGCCTCTCAAAACTTAAATTCCTCGCTAGCAGAGAAAGCAAGGAGATGGTCCCTTTCACCTCCTCCCCGCACCTAGCTCCCTCCCCCACATACACCTGCTCTGTCCTCCTCCAAAACCTGCAAAGGGACCACCCGCACAGAGATCCTTTCCTCATCCTTCCCACATCTCGTTTCCTCTCCGCACCCTCCACCTGCTCTCCCATCCACTTGCTCTCGCCAGGTGGGCACAGACCACCCCTTGGTGGCTGCCCGACTGTCCAGGGCCCTTCTGTCTACTCCCTGCTTCTAGGCATCCCACACCCCATGAAGTAGGGAAACTGTGGCTGGGAGGTGGTAAAGATGGGCACAGCCCCTGCCCCCTGGACCTGCCCATCCTCTTGAACCAGCCAACTCCGTCTTGGATGCTGGAGGGACATGAACCAGGAGGTCCACCGGGAAGGCTACCGGGAGGAGGAGGCTCCGGAAGGACCTGCCTCCTGTGGCCACACCCTCTGAGAGCCCAGTGGGAGGTCGAGGTCATCCGCACAAAACCTTTTCCTGTACCTTCCTTGTCATTTCAGGTTTATTTCAAAAGAGATGGGGAAGCGATCGACGCGGTGCCGCTGGCAGAGCTGCCGGCGGGCTCTGGCCCCCTCCAGGACAGCAGGCCCTTCCGCAGCCTCCTGCACCGAGACCTGGATGACACCAAGGTGCAGAGGTCACTGTCCCTGATGGACACTGAGAACCGGGGTGGGCGTCCCTACACGGAGCGCCCCTCCCTCGGCCTGACCCCAGACCCCAGCATCCTCCTCCAGCCGACCACCGAGAACATCCCCGAGACGGTGGTGAGCCGCGAGTTCCCCCGCTGGGTCCACAGCTCCGAGCCCGTCTACTTCCTGCGCCACAGCCACACCCCGGGCAGCGACGGCACCGTGGAGGTGCGAGCCCTGCTCACCTGGACACTCAACCCGCAGATCGACAGCGAAGCCCTCTTCAGCTGTGAGGTCAAGCACCCAGCGCTGTCGATGCCCATGCAGGCAGAGGTCACGCTGGGTAAGGTGTGGGGCGCCCTTCTGCAGGCCCCCTGCAGAGCTGGGGGTTGGGAAGCCTTGGAGTAGGGCCCTGGGCTGCTGGTCGTCATGGAGACAGGGAGGCGGTGGAGCAAACTGCACTCAGGGTCAGGCACGGAGGGCAGCGTCTGCGTTCGTTCGTAAGGAGCTTTGCTGAGCTGGATAGGAGAGCATGGGAGATCCCGGGGACGCCAGAGGAGTTCGCTGGGTAAGGTCAGGACACGAGAGGTCACGGGAGTTCGGTCCATCAGGATCGAGAATATGCATCAGTGTTAGAAAACATGGAAGGCTTTTGCCCTGGACGGACGGTGTGGCTTAGTTGGTTAAGCATCATCCCTTGCACCGACGTCGCCGGTTTGATTCCCAGTCAGGGCATGTGCCCAGGCTGCCACTTCAGTCCCCGGTCGGGGTTCGTGCAAGAGGCAACCGATCCACATTGATGTCTCTCTCTCTCCCTCTCTCTTCCTCTCTCTCTAAAATCAACAAAAACGTTTTTTAAAAAAACCATGGAAGGTTTTCAAGGTTGAAAATGGACCGTTCGAAGCAGAGGGAGGTTTGCTGGGTGAGTGGAGAGCACAGGGCCGGGACTTCCCAGGGAAAGTGGCTGAGTCGGGTCACAGGAAGGTCAGGGGAGGTTTTCCCATCAGCTGGGGACACAGGAGGTGACTGAGGTTTTCTGTGTGAAATGAAAGACCCATTGGCTCAGGGGCCAGAGGTTTCCTGCTGGAATGGAAGGCCTGTTACCTCAGGGGCAGTTACCAGGTAAGGGTCATGGACATGGCAGGCCGGAGGCAGGGGGAATCGGGGTCCCTTTCTTCGGGGGCCCGTGTACCCAGGCCCAAGCCTGGGGGGAGGAGATGGGCCTTTAGAAAACAGGGCCCTGCCGAAACCGGTTTGGCTCAGTGGATAGAGCGTCGGCCTGCGGACTGAAAGGTCCCAGGTTCGATTCCGGTCAAGGGCATGTACCTGGGTTGCGGGCACATCCCCAGTAGGAGATGTGCAGGAGGCAGCTGGTCGATGTTTCTCTCTCATCGATGTTTCTAACTCTCTTTCTCTCTGTCCCTTCCTCTCTGTAAAAAATCAATAAAATATATTTTAAAAAAAAAAAGAAAGAAAGAAAACAGGGCCCTGAGGAATCTGACCTGGAAGGGGGAAGGTGTCTGCCTTGACCTTCGGGGTTCAGGTCTCTCCTGGACATGGGCGCCCTTCCCCGCCCTCTGCTGGCCGCAGCCCGACAGTGCGGCCCCCACAGGACAAAGAGAGCGGACAGAGTAGCCCAGGGCTGCACTGCCCACCCCATGCAGCGCTTCCCACCTGCGGACCGACCTACAGAGTGTTAACAAAGAAGGCGGAAAGTGACTTGAGCCCCTTAAGCCTTCGTTTCCGTGGGACGATCTCGAAAGGTCGTGAAGTTCAATGAGATCTTGCACAAGGCGTGAGCACAGGGTCCGGCGCTTCTGTGCCCCTGACGGATCTCGGCCCTCAGACTCTGCCTCCTGATTTTCCCAACATCCAGGGTGGGGCGTGGACACTGGTCATTATCATTGTTCCCATTTGCACTGGGGGAATGCCAGGTGGTGTGACTGGGCCAAGGCACACAGAATAGAGCAGAACTTGCTCTCCGCCTCCCGGGCCAGGACCCGCCTCGCTCCTGTGGGTGCGGCCTCAGAAACCAACCGCAGGCCTTATCTGCCCTTCCCCGCCTCAAAGCAGGCCCAGTTCTTCCCAATGAGGCTCCGGCCGCCCCCTGGGGCACCTCAGATGTCTTGCTTGTGATTTAATTAACAGTCCTTTGGTCTCCTTCTCAGAGAAGGAAGTTGGCAGGGCCTGGGAGACCACCCACGTTGCCCGCTGCTCTGATTTTGCTCAGAGCATCTGAGTGGGAAGGAGAGGGTAGGCGAGCAGGCAGGGGCAGAGCGGGGAGGTCCCAGGCCAGCCCAGGACCCGGGACAGAGCTTTCTCCTCCAACAACTCAGTGAGGTGTTCACAGAGAGTGGCCCCGGCCTGCCACTCTGGTCAGAACACTATGGCCCAGGAAGCTACCGAATCTGTCCCCAGCTCCCACCCTCCTCACCCCCTGACCCTCTGCCTCAGTGCCACCCCCTGGCTGTTCCCTCCACCTGGAACCTTCCCATCCCAACGGAAATGTCACCTCCTTGGAAGAGACACTGACCACTACCCCCCCTTAGCGGGATTCTCTGCATAACGCCACATGCCCTGGTCGTTTCTTGTCTGTGTACTTGTTTGCAACTAAATCATAAGCTCAAGTCAGCAGGCACTTGGTTTGATCACCTCTGTGCCTAGCCCTGCCCCAAGCCTGGCACAGGGCTGGCTCGATAATCAATGTTGAAAGAATGAATGAGTGAGTGAGCGAGTGAATGAATGACTCTGGGGCAGAGTCCTGTCCTGAAAGTGAGGAAAGGTGGAAAGCTGGCTGTGTGACCCCTTTCTTACCCATGGGCCTCGGTTTCCCCATCTGAAACCTGGGGGGACAGATCCCAGTGGCTTGTCCATCCTGATGTTGTCTGTCCACAGGACAGCGGTGACCTGGAGTACCTGTCTCCCACGCTCAGAGGTGCAAGGGGGCTTTGGAGAAGTGACACAAGGGCGTAAGAAAGAGGGGCTGGGAGGGCAGAGATCCAGGATCCCCCACACCTTGTCCACTGGGGCAGCGACTGTGTTCTGTGCACCGTTGAATCCCCAGCTCCCAACCAGGGTCAGACTCGTCGCAGGGGCTTGGGGAATGTGTGCGAATGAACGCAGGCAGGCTCAAATGGATGAATGAATGAATGAATGAATGATGAGCATCCTGGAACTGGACTAGAACTGGACTGGCTCTTTCTCCTCCATTTTCCTGCCCCTGCTTTCCTTGCCTAGTCTCCCCCACACCACACACACACACACACACACACACACACACCTCTGACCTGGTCTTCCTCTCCCTACAGTTGCCCCTAAAGGACCCAAAATTGTGATGACGCCCAGCAGAGCCCGGGTCGGGGACACAGTGAGGATTCTGGTCCATGGATTCCAGGTCGGCCTCTCTCGGAACCCCTGGGAGGGTGTGGGAGGTGGGAGGGGCCCCAGCCAGGCACTGGGCTCTGAGACCCTCCCCGCCACCTCCAGCCTAGCCGGTGGGCCTTCATCTGCTAATCCGTCTGCTAATTCGATGAGAAAGGACAAGAGGTTCCTGCGTTTTTGCTTTCCCATCTAGAACCTGGGGTAGACATGCCTCATGGACTTGACCTTCTCTCCAGCCCTAAGTCCTTTTCTGCCTGGTGTGGCAGGAAGCCCCCCCGCAACCCACCCGATAAGCATGTGTCCCCCGGCCAGGCCTGGCCGGGCCGTGGCTCTGAGCCCTCGCTGCTCTGGCAGAATGGCTCCTCCTGTGACCAGACTTTCCCCTGGTCTGGCCAACAGAACGAGGTCTTCCCAGAGCCCCTGTTCACATGGACGCGGGTCGGGAGCCGCCTCCTGGACGGCAGCACCGAGTTCGACGGGAGGGAGCTGGTGCTGGAGCGGGTTCCCGCCGAGCTCAACGGCTCCATGTACCGCTGCACAGCCCAGAACCCGCTGGGCTCCACCGACACGCACATCCGGCTCATCGTGTTCGGTAGGCTGCGCCCAGCTGGGGAGCGGGAGGCCCACCCAGGGCTCGGGCTGACACTGTCCGAGGAGGGGGGGACAGAAAGGGCCTGAGAGGGTGCCCCACAGGGAGGCACTGGGGTTACAACCAGAGATTTGTGGGTTCAAACCCCAGGTCCACCACTTAGCAGCTGGGCAACCTTGGGCACATGGCATAACCTCCCTCAGTTTCTCCACCTGTACAATGGGGCTGCCACCTCCAGCCCACAGGGGTGTGCCCGCGCCAAGACAGCACGTGAAACCACACGGCAGGTGTGGGACAGAGGGGCGCTCCTTTACTGCGCCCCGAAGCCATCCACTCTCTGGTTCTCTTTCTGTTCCTTCCCACAGAAAACCCAAATATTCCAAGAGGAACGGAGGACTCCAATGGTAAGTCTCCACTCAGAGCTCCTTGCTGGGAAGTGTGATTTTCAAGGCTGGAAGCTCTGGTCCCCAAACCTCCCATTGCCTACCCCTGTCCCGCCCCCCCCTCAAGCCTTGGCAGGAGACTGGCCTCTAGTTCACAGAGTCTGGTCAGAGGCGGTCAGGAGTGGGCCCTGAGGCAATAAAGGGGACTCGGCACCCCAAAGTAGCAGCAGGGATTTCCAGCGACTTAGTGTGTCCCCAACACCATCCACAGTGAGCGACTCCAGTTTTTTTTTTTAAATCCTCACCTGAGGGTATTTTTCCCATTGATTCTCTAGAGCAGTGGTTCTCAACCTTCCTAATGCCGCGACCCTTTAATACAGTTCCTCATGTTGTGGTGACCCCCAACCATAAAATTATTTTCGTTGCTACTTCATAACTGTAATGTTGCTACTGTTATGAATCGTCATGTAAATATCTGATATGCAGGATGTATTTTCATTGTTACAAATTGAACATAATTAAAGCATAGTGATTAATCACAAAAACAATATGTCATTATATATGTGTTTTCCAATGGTCTTAGGCGACCCCTGTGAAAGGTTTGTTCGACCCCCAAAAGGGTCGCGACCCACAGGTTGAGAACCGCTGCTCTAGAGAGAGTGGGAGGGAGGGAGAAGAGGGGGAGACACATCGATTGTTTGCCTCCTGCTCACGCCCTGACCAGGGCCAGGGATCGAACCTGCAACGGAGGTACATGCCCTGGGCCGGGAATCGAACCAGTGACCCTTCGGTCCACTGGCTGACACTCTAACCACTGAGCAAACTGGCCAGGGCAGCGCCTCCAGTGTTTTTAGCTCAACTTCCTGATCCCAGGGACACATGTCCAGCCTTGACAATGGGGCTGTGCCTGGGGCCCGGGACCACTCCGGAGGGTAGTTGGGAGCACGGACAGCTGGCTCTGCTGGGGCCCTTCAGACTGCCCTCCCCAGGATTCCTCCAATCTGGGCACCACCCTAAGGGACCCAGGCACTGCTCCCAGGCCACCAGCCCTCCTGTCCCCACACTGGGCCCATCTCAGAATTCAGAATAGAGGCCCCCAGTCCTGGTCCCCACTGGAGGGTCCTGATGGCCACCAGGGAGCCTGCCCTCAGCCCAGCAGGCCCAGGGCAATGAAGGGGTCACCTCAGGTGGGACAGGTGGCCGAGCTGGGCTTGGATGCAGTGCCTCCTGAGGCTGCTGGCCCCTGTGAGGCTCTGCTATTCCCAGGCTCCATCAGAGAGCACCGCGGTGAGTCTGCGGGCTCTGACCTGCTCCCTGCGCCCGGCACAGGTTCCGCCTCTGGCCCTGCTGGTGTCCGGCTCATCCTGGTGCTCACCCTGACAGTGGTCCTGGAGCTGACGTGAAGGCTCGGCCCGGCTCCCGCCACTCCACCCGGCACGGACGCCTCTGCGATCGCTTTTCATTTCTTTTCTAAACTATTTCCAGTCTTGTTCTTAGTCTCTTTCTGTCTGTGTCTTGGCTTCTTCAGTCGGTTTGATTAAAACAAACAGAACGATTTTCCCCACCTGGGTCTGTGGCTGTGTGTTCTTTATTCGTTCTATCACTGCAATGGGTGCCTCCTGGCCTCCAGCATCGGGACAGGCACTGGGTGGAGGGAGGTGACGAAGGAGACGGAGCATGCTCCTCCCTGAATGAGGGGTGCAGATGCAGCTCCATCTCATGCATATCCTAACAGCCAGGAGTGGGGAGTAGCCAGAGACGTTCAGGAAATTAAAGGTTCCTCGGGGCCAGGTGTAATGGTCAGCTGTTGCCACAATAATGCTGCATATAAACCGACCCACATCTCAGTGGCCTGCGACAACAAGCATTTATGATTATGTTCCTATTCAGGATGAAGTGGTAAAGCTGATCCAGTCTGGGCTCGGTGTGCCCCTCTGCTTCAGGTGATGAGTAGAATATTCTCAATTCCTGTTGTTCCTAAATTCCTGGCTAGCCTCCAGGCTGTGGGTTGGGCTCAGGTCTCCTGCAAGGGTATTTGCTCTGGGGGCTCAGGCTAAAGGTGCAGTGGCTATCTGACATTTGGCCATTCAATGGTAGATCACCAACGCTGGAGGAAAAAAACAAACCATGCAGCCACCATGAAAGCGTCTGCCTGTCATGTCCATGACCACTCCTTTAGCCAAAGCAAGTCACATGGCCAAGGCAAACGTCAATCAATCAAGGTCACATGTAAGTCAGGGGCAGAGGTTCCAGAACTTTCTAATCGATCACCAGAAGAGTCCCCATGCCACTCAGTGATTAGCTCTGGGGGAAAGAATGCATCATTGGCAGAGCTGGGTTGGCCTCTCGGAGCTGTGGCCAAGACTTGAGAGTCACCAAGGAGAACCCATGAAACACTGTACTAATGTCTGGAAGGGAGAGGCTAGCCTGCAGGAACACATCAACCCCAGACTCTTACTGCATCCGCACAAGGAAAAGTTATCTGTGGCTATGGAAAGCCCAAGGCAGATTGGAGAGTCCTCTTTCACCTATGGCTACACCAGCTGGAACATGTGGCTTCTAGAATCTTCTCCAGGGCAGAGGAGAAGGGGGCTACAGGGTCAGTGCAGTGTGCAGAATAACAGTTCCCCAAAAAGATATCCATGTCTTAATCCCCAGAATCTGTGAGCATGTTACCTTACGTGGCAAAATGATGTGATTTATTTCAGGGTTTTGAGGTGGGGAGATTGCTCTGGGTCATCCGATTGAGCCCAGTGTCATCACCCGGGGCCTTATAAGACGGCAGAGAGAAGGCACGAGAAGGAACTGTGACAGCAGAAGCAACAGATTGACAGGGGTGGTGCGAGGAGGGGGCTGCGAGCCAGGGCAGGCCGGCCGCCTCTAGAAGCTGACAGAGGCAGGGAAATGAGGCTCCCCTGGAGCCGCCAGGAGGAACTGGCCCTGCCAACGCCTTGCTCCACAGTCACCTCCAGGACTCCAAGGAAATACATTTGCATTGTTTTCAGCCACTGAGCTTGCGGTAATTCCTTACAGCAGCAATAGGAAACTCATAGGATATTTTTAAGTGCCAAGCCGAGTGGTGACATAGATCACCTCTGCCTGCATCCCATGACCAGAGTAGTCACATGGCCCCAACCTAGCTGCAAAGGAGGCTGGGAAATGCAGTCTTCCTGTGTACTGGGTGAACACAGTGCATCGGGTCTGCCAAGGAGAGGCACAGGCCGGAGGAGCCAGAGGAAAGGGTGCTGGGAGGAAGGCCCTCACCTGCCTCAGCTGCCTCAGGGTGCCCCGGGCCTCTCCCTTCCCAGCCAGGAGACACATGACCTCACTGAGCCCTCTGTGCCTCTCCCAGTCCATGCAGATGTCCCGGGGAATTGGGGCCCCTGCCTACAGAACCTCCAAGCCCCCGACACACCAGGCTGCCATCACTGCCCCTTGGCCTCTGCCCGAGGCAGGACCTGGATGACCCATTCAATTAATGTCCACCTTGACGCCCACATCTCTGACTCCATAACTTTCCCCCGGAATTCCAGACTCGATGTCCAACTTCCCACTGCTTTCCCCTCTCCCATTGCATTTCCAACTTCATGTGGCTGAAACCCTACTTCTGATTTTTCCCTTGCAAAACATGGTGTTTCCCCTTTTCAGGAAATGGTGCCACCATCAACCTAGCTGACCAGGTCCAACATTTAGCTGTTCTCTTCTATTCATCTCTTTCCTTCACCCCTCCACAGCCAATCAAATAGCTTGCTGATGTTGCTCTCAAAGCTCATCCTGAATTCACTGGCTTATTTCCTTGTCCACTGCCACCACCCTACACAAAGCTACCTGTCACCTGGAAACTGCCTCCGCCTCCTGTTTGGTCTTCAGATTGCCTTGGGATAATTTGTTTTAATGCCCATTTCCTTCAAATAAGGATGAACATATACAGGGCTATGTAAGTAAGCCATTTGGATGGAAATGTATCATCTAGTTCAGAAGACAACTTGTTGCAATGATTTCTCTGCCAACAAATTGACCAGTTTGGTGGAAATCACTACATTACAGAGGCTGAAAAGGGAGTTTGAGAGGAAGGGTTCTCCCTGGGCTGTGGGGACTCTTAAGTCTCCATTCTGAGGACCCAGAGATCTCTCTTCCCCCCCCCCCCCCCCACCAATGATCTGGTCCCCCATGGCGGCCAAAGAGATCCTTCTCAACATAAGTCATCCCATGGTGCCTTCCAACTCAGAACCGAACCCTCCAATGGTTTCTCACCTGCCATAGATTCAGTGTCTGTGTTCTCCCCAAATCCACACGCTGAAACCTAACCCCCAATGTCATGATATTAGAAGACGCGGAGTTCACCAGGGTGGAGCCCTCATGAATGGGATTAGTGCCCTTATAAAAGAGGCCCCAGAGAGCTCCCTCACCCCTTCCACCACGTGAGGACACAGCAAGAAGTTGGCAACTTGCAACCTGGGAGAACGGGACCATGCTGGCACCCGGATCTGGGACTTCCTGCCTCCAGAACTATGAGAAATAAATTCCTGTCGTTTTGAAGCCACCAAGTCTGTGGTATTTTGGTATAGCAGCCCAACCAACTAAGTCACGGGAAATAAATCCAAACCCCTTATAAGTCCTACAAAGCCTGCTGGCTTTGTCTTGTTCACACTGTCCTGGTCTCCTCTCTCTCTCTCCCACCACCCCCCCCCCTTCATTCACACACACCTTCCCATTCCTCAGACTCCTCAAGCCCATTCCTGCCTCAGGACCTTTGCAGGGCTGACTCCTCCTTTCTATTTACATATCAGCTTAACTATCACCTCCTCAGAGGGATCTGCCTGACCACCACACCCCTCTCCCCATCACGCCATCCTAATGCCATTCTCTGCAGAGAACACATCACTAGCAGATGCTTTTCCTATTATTTATTGCCAGTCTCTCCCTTCCCCTTGGCCAGCATGTCAGCCTGTGAGTGTGGGGACCCCATCTGCATCCTCCACTTTTGCATCCTCGGTGCTTAGGCCAGAACCTGGCACGTGGCAGGTGCTCAACAACCATTTATTAAATGAATGAGTGAGCGAGTGGGCACCTCCTGAGGACATGCTAAGGGCCAGACTCTGTGCCAGGCATCCAGGCTGCAAGGGTGAGTAGGAGGTGCCCTCCATCCTGAAGGAGCTCACAGCCCAGTGAGGGGAGGACATTTACCCCACCGACCGAGGAACTGCAAACCGCCACGGGCGCTCAGCACAGGGCCTCCCCAGTGCTCTAGGGATCCATTCCTCTGCAGTAGGGGTGCAACGAGGGGGTCAGAGGAGGCCACGGAGAACACGTGACATGTGAGCAGAACTTTGAAAGAAAATGGAGTCTGACCAGGCAGAGGAGGGAGGAGAATATTCTAGACAGAGAGAACACTAGCAAAGCCTAGAGGCCGGACAATTTAGTATACATTTAGGGGAAAGACAAGTTGTTACATCAGTGCTTCTGACAGCACATAAATTTACTCAACAAATATTTATTAACTACTCACCATGGGCCACGCTTGCAGTGTGATGGATGCTGCACATTAAGTAGGAACACTGTCATATGGCTCTTGTATCAGTTATCTATTGCCACAATGGCGCTGTATAATGAACATCCCCAAAACGGAGTCGCTTAAAACAACAGCTATTTATTATTTCTCGTTAGGCTATGGTCAGCGGCCGATCCGGGCCAGGTTTGGCCTATGGAGGC